AAAAAAAAAAAAAAAAAAAAAAAAAAATTGTTTTTAGCATTTGTTTTTGAGAGAGCAAGCAGGAGGAGTTGGCAGAGAGAGGGGGACCCAGAATCCAAAGCAGGCTCCAGGCTCTGAACTGTCAGCTCAGAGCCCAACACAGGGCTCAAACTCCTGAACCACAAGGTCATGACCTAAGCCAAAGTTGGACACTCAACACACTGAGCCACCCAGGCATCTCTCATTCTTCCTCATAGCTTCTCTGACACTTCCTGAGTGCCTGTGGTTTGTTTTAAGTTGTTAGGGCACTTTACGACTTGCTCAGTTTGCACAGCCAAGAAGTCATAACATTGAAATTAATAAGTGCTCAGTTAATAGTGAGTAAATGCATGTGTAGTGAAGAGAGGATTCAACTCGGCTTCTCAGGGTATTTATTAGTAATTGACCTCATTTTTATTGCCTTGCTCTTAATTTGTCATTGTGCCATTACATCATACCTGCAAAGGTTTCTGGAGGCTCTTTTACTTTTGAGAGAATGAGGACGAGCAGGGGAGGGGCAGAGAGAGAGAGAGAGAGAGATGGAGACAGACCCAGAATCTGAAGCAGGCTCCAGGCTCTGAGCTGTCAGCACAGAGCCTGACACGAGGCTCAAACTCATGAACCATGAGACCATGCCCGGAGCCAAAGTCAGATGCTCAATCAACTGAGCCACCCAGGCTCCCCTGGAGGTTGTTTTTAAAAACTGCTGTTAAAGATAAGTAGGGGGCGTCTGGGTGGCTCAGTCGGTTAAGCGTCTGACTTCGGCTCAGTTCATGATCTCATGGTTGGTGAGTTTGAGCACCGCGTCGGGCTCTGCGCGGACAGTGTGGAGCCTGTTAGGGATTCTGTCTCTGTCTCTCTAATTAAAAATAAAACTTAAACACCATTTTCATTGTATGACTTTTGAAACAGTGGATTTTAGGTACATATTTTATGTCCACTCCTCTAACCTACTAGTGAACACTGAAGTAGCTCTAGTCATTAAATGCAGAATAAATGAAACACGTATATGTGAATTCAGCATAGCCGTGGATACAGAGAACTGTTGGGTATCGTTTGTCTTGGTGTGTCCTTGGAGGCCTCGGGTGTCCTTCTATGGTTTCAGCCAGTGTTGAATTTGGGAGGACATCATGGGAGTGCCTCTCTGCTTTTTCTGACCTCTCAACCGCAAAGTCAGTTGGCAACAGCTGGTGGAGGTGGCTGAAACCCCGTAAGATGAGCCTTTGGGTGTCTCTAATTCAGATCTCATGCTGTTGGCAGTCGGCCGTCAGGACTGTGCTCAGCCCCTAAGGGCAAAAGTTCCTCTCTGAGGGAAGAGAGACGGGACAGGTGAATTGCAAGTGACCGACTTGGTTATCATTTGGGATTTAGGGCCCGTCACGCACACCGGAAGTTTAACTTAATTGACTTCTTGGTGTCGGTCGAGACCAAGGGAGAGAGAATTGTGCTTGGTGACCTCGCAACAACAGGACCCTTCGTTTTGTGTGATTGAGTTTGGGGACCGAATTTACAGGATCACAACAGAGTTCTCCAGACCTTTCACGTTTGGAATTCAGATCCTTGGCTCTCTTCCTGAGAGAGTCTGAGGTTTGCACGTGGTCACTTTCGGTGCCCCGGTCCCGTAGATAAGCTCGGGTATTGATAGTCCATCCAGGAGAGTGACAAGCTCATTTTAGTTTTTCTGACCTGCAGGTATCAACTTGAACTCCAGGACAACTATATCGATAGAACTCACAGGCTGATAGAAGATGAAAGGAAGAATAAAGGTGACTCTGGGGACGAGCTCTGTTCACTGTGACAGAGGCTGTTAGCTTGCGAGTGCCTGTTCTGTATTCTAAAAAAACCTATCATTTACACCTGGTGTTACTGCAAAAAGTACATGGTTTTTATTAATCTTACAAAATTGGTTTTTTAATACATTTTTGTGAATCTTCATGTTTAACCTTTCGTATATTCGCAAAGGTTAGTGATTCACCAGCAGGATTTTATCCAACTTTCTTTCAGTGTATTTTGATAGATGTGACTATCAAAGTGGCAGCGACTTTTTGCCATCGGGTAAATACTATTAACCACGAGACTACAATTTTTACTTCTGGAAAATTGTAACTTCTCTGTCCCTGTGATCTAGTTTATTTCTTCTACTTCTAATGTATTCGTATGCTTCATGATATTTTCACGTGACATAGAATCTTTTCTTGGTAAGTTTTTTTTATTTGAGAGAGAAAGGAACCCCAAGTAGGCTCCACACTATCAGTACAGAGCCTGATGCGGGGATCAAACTCCTGGAACTGGGAGATGACGATCTGACCCAAAACCAAGAGTCGGATGCATAACCAACTGAGTGACCCAGGCGCCCCTACTTGACCTATAATCCCTTAAATTCTTGAATATATTAGCTTAAGAGTAGGAAAGCTGGATAATTTTTTAGTCTTTGGGATACTGGACATCTTCATATATTTCTGGGAATTTGTCGATGAAAAGAAGTTAAACTTCTAGTGGCGATTTCAAATGGACTCTTGGGAGTAAACCAAGGCTAAGCACTTGATGCTGACTGGTCAGGTCACCCCGTGTACATCTGCTCGCAGCTAGCCTGTGGAGGCTGATACTTCTATGTACCCGTGCTGTCACGCGTTCAGCAAGTCAGGGTTTTGATGTTACATCTCCATAGACCGTGTTAGATGAAGTGAAAATGACAAAATCATAAATACAGAATCCCAACAGACAAATCTGTCTTTAAGGAAGTTCTGACCTGACGGCGCGCGGGCCCTGTGCTCAGAGCCGATGGTGTAAGTGGTGACTTTTGTGCAGCAGGACTAGGCTTGCCGCGTATTCGACCGTTAGAGTTACTTGCCGTCACATGTTGAGTAATGGGGCTTGTTTCTTACTTGGCTGCTGATTTGTTTTGACCTTGACATCTGCTATTCAGATAATGAAATAATGGTCGTTAGGTGTGACATAGTGGCCGTAAGTTATTAAACGACTTGTATTCACTAGGAAAACTTGATGTTAATTGGTTGGCTCTTTTCTTTCAGAAAAAGCTATACATTTGCAAGAGGAGCTCACAGCTATTAATGCGAAAAAGGAAGAATTTGGTCATTCTGTAAAACGTGTCAAAGAGCTCGAGGTAATGAAGTCTTGTGTTTTGAAATCGACATGAGGCAATATATGAACCTAGAGCTTTAGTCCTGCGTGATTTATCTTACGTTGTCCTCTTGACGTGTTGGGACTTGTTTCCATCTTAGTCTCCTGGGGAAGCACAGCAAGAGGATGTCCTTTGGGGCCTAGATCCCTGCCTGAATCCCGTGTCTCTCCCTTTCTGCTTGTGTGCCTTGGGGCAAGCTCTGTGACCTCAGACTCCTCCTGTGTAAACTCTGGGATGTTCCCACCATGCGTGGTTGTGGAGGGAGTTCGGGGAGCTGAGTTTTGCACGTCGTACGCAGCTTGTATGCACTAGCTTCTACCTCAGCCTCTTCTCCCTTCCCATCAAGGGCAGGAAGACTTCCTGTCAGGATGTCAGGATCTCCCAGCTTAAAACCCGATGAGATGCGCTTTTCACATGCCACTGTTACTTCACTTGGATTAAGCTGTGTGTTTGCGGGGCACCTGGGTGGCTCAGTCGTTTAAAGCGTCCAACTTTGGCTCAGGTCGTGATCTCACAGTTCATGGGTTCGAGTCCTGCGTCTGGCTGTGTGCTGACAGCTTGGAGCCTGGAGTCTGCTTTGGATTCTGTGTCTCCCTCTCTCGTTCTCTTTTTCTGCCTCTCTCAAAAAAAATAAAAACTTCTGTGCTATGTGAAGGACAGAGGTGGAACTTGAGGTACATAAAATGTTAGGCACAGAACCTATTTTTGTAGCCTGTTTTGTAGCACTTTAGACAGAGAACATAGTTTGTAAGGACTTGTGTGTTAGAGAACTCTGTAGGCTTCTGTAACCACACTTGAGCTGTATTGTACTACTAAGAGGAAAGCACCCCACAGCGCGTTAGTGAGATCTCCCCCTTTGATACTTAAGAAATGCCTTGCTGCAATCTGGGGTTGATTTGGGGGGCCCTTAGTTGCCTCTGGAGGAGAGGACTTCTGCTGTGGTTCGGGTCTCCTTGCAGAGAAACAGACTTGGGTCAGATGACCTTCATTAAATCGTGGCGCCCAGCCTCAGGCAGCTTGGCAGCCTGGACTTAGGCGGTACTGTAGCCACCCACTGTTCACAGACAGGTGTTGCTGTTTCGATTCCAGCTTGAGTTAGAGTCGGTCAGAACCCAGTCTTTGGCGATAAGCAAGCAAAACCACCTGCTGAGAGAAAAGGTGAAAGAAATGAGTGACTATTCGCTACTGAAACAAGGGAAACAGGAGCTTCAGGAGCAAAATAAATTACTTAAACAACAGCTGGAAGAGACCAGAAGTGAGAACTTGCGTCTTCTAAACCGTAAGTCTTGTCCGGATTGGCTTGTCTTTGTGATTGACACTGGCTCAGTATTCCGAAACTGCTCTGTCCTGTAAGGGAGGCTTCAGTTGAGAAGATTTTCTCAAATTTCGTGGATTGAAGGTACATTCTTTTCACTCGCTGCCACAAAATTGCATCACTAACAAGTTTTCAACTGTATAAATACGCCTCTCCGGGTGGCCCTTGGCTCTCCTTCCCTCTGAATGCTGGTTGGGTTTGGCCAGTGGGGACACACTCCCGTGCTTGGAGGGAGGGAAAAGAGTGAGGTCGAGGTGGCTGTGATCCCTTCTGCGTCTCCTCCCGTGCGGTAGGCCAGGGCGGGCCCTGGGCCTCAGCCAGGCAGGAGCCCAGGCCTTGGCTTCTCAGGGCTCTGTACCTGCTCGCGGTCTCCGGGTCTGGGAATTCCTCCCCTCCTGACCCTCCAGGCCCTAGGAGCGTTGACAACAGGGCCCCGGTACCCCGGGGAACTACAGTGTCCTTCGTGGCTACCCGATGTGAGTCCCTTTATTAAAGGATCTTCCAATGACCCGAACTGGGACACCATCTGCTTTCTGCCTGGACCCTGAGTGCTGCTGACAGATGCCCAGGTCGGACTGGACCTCGGGGCAGTCGTTGGCAGGTTCTGACAGGTTCCTCCTGTGCCTTCTGTGCGTACTAGGGCAGATTGGTGGGCTTTCATGTTAATTTCTGGATTTGAAAGAATTCTTTTACTGGGAGTACAATCCTGGAGAGCTGTAAAGTGTGCAGTCACGTGCATTAAATTCTCTTGGGGCGTCTGGGTGGCTCAGTCGGTTAAGTGACTAACTCTTGATTTTGGCTCAGGTCATGATCTTGCAGTTCATGAGTTGGAGACCTTGCGCCGGGCTCTGCACTGACAGTGCGGAGCCTATTTGGGATTCTCTCTTTCTCCCTGTCTCTGTCCCTCAGTGCTTGCATGCGTACGCGTGCTCGGCCTCTCTCAAAATAAGTAAACTTAAATAAACTTTTTTTAAAGTAATTCTTTTGTTGGGAAGTTGGTGAGTTAAGATGGCTCTTAGTCTCCTTAATTACTATCATGTACAAAGGGAAGAACAACGTAAAGCCTCTTGAGCTGCTTTTGTTAGGTGAAACGAGAAAATGTGAGGCTGGTGACGAGCAGGCTTTTTTACCTTCACAGACCTGGCTCAGCCTTCTCCAGAGCTGGTGGCTTTTCAGAAAGAACTAAAGAAAGCAGAGAACGCTATCGTGTGTGAGCATAAGGAGTTCGAGATCCACAGGCAGAACCTGCAGAAGCAGCTGCAAAGTGAAGTGAGTACTGCCTGGCTCACCCAGGCATCTGGGCGGGCTGCTCTGTGGGCCTGGGGACTCGGTGTGCGCCACACCGGCACCCGTCAGCCGGTGGCATCAGAAATGAGCCCCCAGTCTGCTGATTACTCCCCCAGTGTTCTTTGTCCTTGGAGAAAACTCTCAAGCTGTTGTGTGACCTTAGGTTCCCCATAGTAATAAAACCGAGAGGAAAGTAAACCCCCCCCCCCCCCAAACACGCAGTTTTCCAATCCCTGTTGGTGCTCCCTGGTAAAAGTAGCTGATTCCCCCGCTGTGATGCAACAGTATTGATGCTCTTTCTGACATCTGCCTCTTGTGCTGGAATAGCTGTTGTTGGAGAGGAGTGAAAAAGGAGCTGTGGAACTTGCTAGTGGGTTCTGTTGTTGTTTCATCTGGACCCCGGGGGTGATGGGTGTCTGGCTGCTGAGAATTGGCCAAATCGACAAAGAAAATCAGCCCGATGAGAGAATTGTGCCTTTGGAAGTATGCTGTGTGATTGGTTTTACATTGATTTCTTTTCCTTGTCTAAATCTTGGCAGATTGAACGTTCTGCACAGCTGAAGGCCCAGATCCTCGATTACGAAGATTCCGTAAAAAGGTTAAGGAGACAGGTGGCCGATTTGAAATTGCAACTGACACAAACCCAGACGGGTTAGACACCTCTTTAACTTGTGTGTGGGTGGGTGTGTGGGTGCACACGTGGGAGAGAGAATGCGAGCAGCTTCTGATGCGTGTGAACACGTAATGACGATTCAGTGAAGTTGTAATTCTCACAGTAGGGAAAAGCTATAGAAATGTGTCACCTTACAAGTAAAACTCTTGTCTTGGGGCACCTGGGTGGCTTAGTCAGTTAAGCGTCCGACTTCAGCTCAGGTCATGACCTTGTGGTTGTGGGATTGAGCCCCATGTCAGGCTCTGTGCCGACAGCTCAGCCTGGAGCCTGCTTAGGATTCTGTATCCCCCCCCCTTCTCCCTCCCCCCTCTGCGTGAAGAAAGCAGGCCTGTGAAGCCATAGCTGGTACATGCACTCTCTTGATAAATGTTGATCATGACTGCAGCTTCAGAAAGTGTTGAATGTGCGAGTTTGTCCTGAATACTTTGATTTTTGCAAAAGAATGCTCTTGATCTCTTTTAACTCTATCCTCCACCTTTTTGCATCCTTTCTCACACTGTCGTTCTGTAACCCATAGCCCTAGAGAACGAGGTGTACCGCAACCCAAAGAATTCTCTGCTCGATCAGCCCATCAGCGGATTAATGGGTGGCAACGTGGTGGTACCTCACAATGGTGACCTGAATGGGGATTTCTTGAAAGATGCTTTCGGACTGGAAAGGCTGATGGCAGGCATGCTTCTGTCAAGGATTGCAAGTGACCCAAGTGCGAGCACCGGGAGTAGTTCCCCCGATTCTGACCTGGAGTTTGTAGCCAAGACCAAGGCAAGGGTGAAAGAGCTAGAGCAAGAGGCCGAACGTTTGGAGAAAGCTTTCCGAACTTCCCATCCAAGAGTTCATCCACGCCCCACGGGAAGGTCTTCAGCCAAGAGCCCGCCACCCCTGCACGCGACAGGAACGCTCAAAAAGGCCACTTCCGGCTTCCCTGGAAGACGTACTTCCGCAGAGGACGCGGCTGTCCCTGAGCCGCCTCTGGCACGCACACCCGAGGAGGACAGGAGCAGCGCTTCGGCTTCTGAGGCGCGGCCGTGCGAGGGCACGCCCTCCAGACGCCTCTCCTCCACTCCCCTGCCCAAGGCCAAAAGGAGCCTCCTTGCTAAAGTGTATCTGGAAGGTGAGCTGCCAAGAGGGTTGCGGGGTGCTCTGTATTTGGAAGCTTCTGGTGCTCAGAGGGCCTCTGAACCGAGTGAGAGTGCAGCCCGGGACGGCAGGAAGGAGCAGGAGCTGAGCCTGGCAGAGCCCGAGCTCCAGCAGTCGTGTCCTCGGTCTCAACCTGCCTTGTCTGGCTGACGGTGGCGTCTCCCACACGGGGCCGGGGATGCCGAGGGAGGTAGTGGGGTAGTGTCCCATTTTACCATTTTCCTTGGTGTGCAGACCTGTGCTGAGTGACTGGTGGCTTTCCCTTTACCTCTGGTGAGTTGCATGTTTGTCACTGCTGTAGTTGTATTTAGGTGCTTGAATCATCAGTTTGGTAGATCATCTATGTGTCCTACCCAACTGTTTGCAAGGGTAATGTTAGCTTTTTGAAGGTAACAGAACTGTTCAGAAACGACGTTGCTACCTTCTCCTTGCAATTTGTAATGGTCAAGCTTTCTGCCCCTTAGGTGGGGACAGATCCGGTGCTGCTGGCTGCAGTCCTGGTCCTGAGACAACGCCCCAGCCATCACCCTCTGAGTCCGGGCACAGCCCTTCCCTCCACCTGCTGCCCAGCCCTCCGGAGCAGGCCAGGTAACCCCGCCTTCCCCTCGGCCACACCCACTCTGGGTAGCCTCACCGGGCTCACACTGGACTTGTTGGGGGTTTGGGGGATATGAAAGACCACGTGGCAGTACAGAATTTGTAATCAGATTGTAAGATGACGTATGATCTTTGAGAATCCTCTAAATAACCTGCTTGGAGAAAATAACTCCTTTTAGCAAGTAAGTAATTTCTACTGGTTTGCCAAGCTTGGCGTGTAGAATAGAGACGATGGGGTCAATAAACATCTTCATAGTTGCAAGAGTAGACTCAGTTTACAAAGATAAAACCAATGTACAAAACATGCAAAAACAAATGCAGTTGAAAACAATTTTTGGGTCCCCTGGAGGGCTCAGTCGGTTAAGTGTCTGACTTCGGCTCAGGTCATGATCTCACGGTTTGAGTTTGAGCCTCGTGTCGGGCTCTGTGCTGACAGCTTGGGAGCCTGGAGCCTGCTTCGGATTCTGGGTCTCCTGCTCTCTGTGCCCCTCCCCTGCTCATTCTGTGTCTCTGTCTCTCTAAAAAATATAAAAAAAAGTTGAAAACATTTTCACACATTGTTAGTCACTCAAATATTTCGGCATTTAAAATATAAACAATATTCTAATTTTTTTTTGGACCCAAGTATAGTTGACTCACGATGTTGGATTCGTTTCAGGTGTACAGGATAAGTGATTGGACTCTGGACGTTATGCTGTGCTCCCCACGAGTGTAGCTGCTATGCAGTATTGTTAGACTCCCCTTGAGCGAATTCCCTGTGCTGTACCTTTCATACCCGTGGCTTCCTCGTTTCCTAAGTGGAAGCCTTTACCTCCCACCCACCTTCACCCTTCTGCCCACCCCTCCACTCCCTCTCCCAACTGTCAGTTTGTTTTCTGTATTTAGAGGTCTTACTCTTTCTTATTCACTTATTCTTGAGATGCCACATAGAAGTGAAATCATAGGGTATTTGTCTTTCTCAGTCTGACTTATTTCATTTAGCATCATGCCCTCTAGGTCCATGCACGTTGTTGCAAATGGCAAAAATCGCATCCTTTATTATGGCTAATATCCCGCTAGGTATAGGTGTGTGTATACATGCTTACACACCCACGTTTCTTTATCCATTCTTCAGTCAGTAGATACTCGGGTTGCTTCTGATCTTGGCTATTGTAAGTAATGCTGCTGTAAATAGAGGGGTGCATAGATGTCTGCAAATTAGTATTTGTTGTCTTTGCATAAATACCCAAGAGTGGAATTGCTAGATGATCCGGTAATTGTATTTTTAATCGTTTGAGGAAGCTCCGTATCGTTTTTCAGTCGCTGCACCACTTTGCTTTCCCATCAACAGTGCTGGAGGGTTCCTTTCTCTCTACACCCTCACCGACACTTGGTGGTACTTGGCGTTTTGATTCTAGCCATTCTGACACATGTCACCTGATCTCTCCTTGTAGTTTTAACGTTTTTTTATTTTTGAGACAGAGACAGAGCGTGAACAGGGGAGGGGCAGAGAGAGAGGGAGACACAGAATCTGAAACAGGCTCCAGGCTCTGAGCTGTCAGCACAGAGCCTGACGCGGGGCTCGAACTCACAGACCGTGAGATCATGACCTGAGCCGAAGTCGGACACTTAACCGACTGAGCCACCCAGGCGCCCCTCTCCTTGTAGTTTTAATTTGCGTTTTCCTGATGATGAGTGATGTTGGGCATCTTTTCCTGTGTCTTTTTGCCATCTGCGTGTCGTCTTTGGGAGCTGTCTCTTCAGGTAGTCCGGCCTTTTTGGTGGGATTATTTGGATTATTGGTGTTGAGTTGTATAAGTGCTTTACATATTTTAGTTTTCTTTTTTGAGAGAGTAGGAGAGGGGCAGAGGAAGAGGGAGAGAGAATCTTAAGCGGGCTCTGTGCCAGCACAGAGCCCTACACAGAGCTTGATCTCACGACTGTGACATCATGACCTGAGCCAAAAGCAAGAGTCTGACACTTAACAGACTGAGCCAGCCAGGTGCCCCTACATGTTTTGGACATCATTGGATTTATCATTTACAAATCTCTTCTCCCATTCGGTAGGATGCCTTTTGTTTGGTGATGGCTTTTTTTTTTTTTAAGCTGTGGAGAAGCTTTTTATTTTGATGTAGTCCCAGTGGTTTATTTTTTTTTTAATCTTGCCTCAGGAGACCTACCTAGAAAAATGTTGCGAAGGCTGCTGTCACAGAAATTCCTGCCTGTGCTCACTTTGAGGATTTCTATGGATTCAGGTCTGAGGTTTAGGTCCTTAGCTTCTTTTGAGTTG